CTTGACTTGCTGTCACATGAATGGTACTGTGTGAACACTTCGTTGGCAGACACACATGGGTGGCTTCCTGGCACTGGCACTTACGTGTCATAAACAGCAGTTGGGATGTGGGCACAGTGCAGTGGTACCATCACCTGCACACAACAGTCAGACAACATGTGCAACCAAAGGAGGGTGGGCCCTGGCTAAGCTACTTAAACACATATTTTTTATATGCATGAAAAATGATGAGAAGAATTGCTGCTATGAAAGCATAATTGTGTTCATAATAGCTTCCTAGTTAGAAAAACTAATTTTTCCATTTTGTGGCCATTGTCAGAGCACTCTGTGGAGTGAGGGCAGGATGAAAGCTTTTTTAAAGCCTGAGAAGTCACAGGTAGCTCAAATCCAGATCTGCTGGAGCTGCTTCCAGCAGGACCCAAGGAGTGAGAGGCACTGTTTGAGGGACTGGAAGTGACAGGCATGAAGTCAGAGAAAAACCATTTGTTGAACTGAGCAGGGCACAAGCACTGGGTGCTGTTTATGCTGATATGCTGCAAAGTTAATTTAAGACATGGTCTTGTCTTCTTGCCCGCAGGTATGTGCTGTACCCCTTGGATCTCTATAATGACAGTGCATACTATGCTTTGACCAAGTTCAAAAAGCAGTTCCTGTACGATGAAATTGAAGCTGAAGTAAGTTCTCTTCATCTTTATTATATAAAAAGAGCTCACTGGGGTCACATTGCCCTGTTTGACTCCCCCACCCAGCAGATCTGTGAATTCATTATAGGCACCTCCTGAAAAAATGCCCCATCAGACTGAGGAGTTTTCAAAATATCAGTATTTCCAGCAATCTTACAGACTCTGCTGATTAAGGGCTTCAGCTTAGCTGTACCCATGGGGAAACATGGAAACCAAAGGCTGTCAAACACTGGGGGTATGGAAGAACCTGTCTGATGGGCAGAGGGTTATGAGACATCAGAGGAAAATGAGATATTCCCCAAGAGAGAAGGATGGTTGAGGGTGGGAGACCAGGACCTGTAAGAACATGCAGAAACTATAAGAAATGTAACTGCAGTTTTCTCCTTACATTTAGCACACTGCTGTGTGGTTTTTAGATAGTGACATATATGTTTTTATTAAATTAAAGAGCTGTGTTGGGTTGTATTGATCTTTCATGCGTAGGAAGGAACTGCTCTGTGCTGGTGTCAACCTCACCAAGTCTTGTTTTTTCTCCTCCAGGTGAATTTGTGCTTTGATCAATTTGTGTACAAGCTGGCAGATCAGATCTTTGCCTATTATAAAGCAATGGCTGGCAGGTAGGAGAACCTGACTGCTGATGGTGACTGATGATATCACTGCATCCAAATTGCTGTAGACCAAAAGGTTCCCCTCAGGGAGCAGCTGCTGCAAGTAAACATAACACAGATCATCCCTGTCCCACGGAGCTGGCTGTCCATGTCAGACCAGCGTAGATGGGGAAAATGGTGGCAAGGAGACATGATTAGAAGTGAAAAAATAATTGGCATCCTAAGTAGCTCTCTGGGTACAGTTTGTGAGAGCAGCAGAAAAGCAAACCAAGCCTATTAAAGACGTGTCCTTGTTTGACTTCTGTTTGTGTAGAGGAGTGGAAGCCTCTCATCTCTACAAAACAGGAATATGCACTTGTCCTCACCCTCATAAAGCAGCAGGACTTGTTCTCCCTTGTGGGGAGATAGAACCTTTGTGTGTTTCCTTCTTCGCAATTTAAAGAGCATGCTTGAACTCTAGTGAGAGTCTTCCTCCCATGGGCCGAAACGTGAACCAAGTTTTCCACGTAACTCCGCAAGGAGTTTTGTCTCTAGGTCCCATTTGGCCTTAGTGAAGGAGAGCAATCACCATCACCAACCAAATGTTCCCACAGCAGATCTTCAAGGAGGGAGCACATCGGGGGACCACCCCTGTACCTGGCACTAGTGATATCTTTCAGCACAATCTTTTATCTTTCTGAATGTTTTAGCCATAAAACTCAAGAATGATGGACAACAGCATGGCAGTCCCCAGCCAACAACTGCTGCTCTGTGTTTATGTGGTGTAAGCAGTGGTATTAGTGTGTGGAAATCCCTTGGCATTCAGAGCCAAGGTGAAAAGAAGGATGAAAACACTCTGTAAAGATGCAGAGAGAAGCTGATATGTGTCTATTTTCCTGACACTGCTTCCTTTTTTCAGTGTTTTATTGGACAAACGTTTCCGGGCTGAGTGTAAGAATTATGGGGTGATCATTCCATACCCACCATCCAACCGCTATGAGACGCTGCTCAAGCAGAGGCACGTCCAGGTACAGTGCAAGCAGCACTCCAGGGATCTTGGTCTCAAATTATCCTTTTGGTGGTGGTAGGCATCCTGGTGCTGGGCTTAATCCAGGTCAGTGCTGGAATGAGAAGGGTTGAACCTGTTTCTGACACACTGCACTCAAGGCACAGGGCCTGAGGGGAAAATGAGTTATGCACCACATTTCCTTCCTTCCCTCCTAACTAATGGTAAGCTCAGCTGGGGTGTTTGCACCACTGCTTTCACATTTAAGCAGACTTGGGTGTTGGGTTTAACTTCATATCTGTTTTAAAAAAAACAGCGAACCTTTTCCCATCTATATATAACATGCAAATATCTTCTCTCCTTTTCCCAGTTGCTGGGTAGATCAATTGACCTGAACAGACTCATTACCCAGCGTATCTCGGCAGCGATGTACAAATCATTAGACCAGGCCATTAGCCGCTTTGAGAGTGAGGACCTGACATCTATAGTGGTAAGAACTGTTATTGACTGCAAGTATGAACAGAGAGACTAATACACTGCTGTGGGTACACAGTCAACTCTTTCTGCTTTGGGTCCCCCTACAGTAGGCTTCAGCCAGCCATGCATCCTCCTTTATGCTGCTGAATCTCTACTATTTCTATTTATGCAGCTTTAATCGCATTATTATTGGACCATTAAGTATCTGCATAAATCATGTGGTGACAGTCAGCAGTTAGACTCAGCAGAGCTCATATAAGAGAGTCCTGTAACCTGGGAGAAAGAAATCTTGAGTTTAATTCCCCATTGGATGAAGGTGGCTATGACACTGTTTGTGTGTGTACAAGATTTGACGTCTTTGATATGTTGCAGGAGCATCAGAGTCAAATAGTGTAAAATTACTGGTTTCCACCTTTGGAGGATTCTGAGGTGAAAGCCAGCCAGTGCTCAGTGGGAAACAAATTAATTTTGCTTTCTGCAGGTTCACGAGATACTGGACCAGAACCCCCTTGAGTGAACGTGCAATTGGCCTTGGCCACTGAGTTAAATGGATATCTTAGTTCTGTGTGTGTGTGTGTGTATATAAAATCATTCCCCTGGCAATTCAATCAGCTGTTTCTGTTGTCATCTCAGTAATACGTTGCATTTGCTGCCACTTTATGTGCTGCAGGAGCTGGAGTGGCTCTTGGAAATAAATCGCCTGACTCACAGGTTGCTGTGCAAACACATGACTTTGGACAGCTTTGATGCCATGTTCCGGGAGGCCAACCACAACGTCTCCGCACCCTATGGGCGCATCACCCTCCACGTCTTCTGGGAGCTCAACTTTGACTTTCTACCCAACTACTGCTACAATGGATCCACCAACAGGTGAGGAGGGAAAGCAAGGCAGGACCCATCTGGAGACCCTGCTTCTTTTACAAAGTGTCAAACCTGCCACATAAAATTCACATGTATTGTGGGGAGATTTGCATTCCCTCTGGGACTCAACATCTTAAAATGAAGTTGAAGCCCAGCATCTCCTCTTGGCCTTCAAAATGTTAGTAACAAAGTCAAGTAACAGTTGATTGCAAGTGGCTGAGGGTTGGTTTGCTCAGCAGCAGAGGACTGGTAACTGCTCAGATATGGGTTTCTTGTCTGCCCCAAATGAGAAGAAACCTCCTTTTGGTAGGTTAAATTGGTGTTTTACGTTATTAATACATCGGGGCAGGAGTTGCATTCCAGTCCATGTAGCTCAGGTGATGAACCCTAATTAGCCTGCAACTGCAGTTCACCCCAAACTATGCCATGTCTGCAGTCAGTTAACTGGGCTCTGACCCTCTCCATCTGCGGTGCCCCCACAGGTTTGTGCGGACAGCAATCCCGTTCACGCAGGAGCCCCAGCGGGACAAGCCAGCCAACGTTCAGCCGTATTACCTCTATGGATCCAAGGTCAGTAAATGAGCCACAACAGCCAGAAGGGGTGGATGTTTTAAATATTTATTTAGGAAGAAAGAAATGCAAGAACTAGTTCATTAATGGAATGGTGCAGGATCACATTGCTGTTTGAAACCAAAAGGCCATGCAAGAAGCAGATTCAGTGTGCTGTCACTGTTGCTTTCCCACATTCTTCTCTGTAACATCTCATGTTAGGGGATGTCGACACTGCTCTGTGCTTGGTGTTGGCGCTGAGTCACATCCATCTAAATGCACAGAGAGGTGAGCAAGTTGGTGCTTCAAAGCTTTGCTCCTCCCCAAGGAAGGTATCACTTCAGGAATCCCATTTGTAGTTCAAAATGGGAACAACTAAAATACTGTGTGTGCAAATATAAGCTACTCAATACTGACGAAAAGCTCTTTCTCAGGCTGCGATGGCTGTTCATACAGGTACTATGAGGGCTTGGGGTATGATGCTAGTGGAGGATTGCTCAAGCATGAAAATACTTGAGTGGAGTTTATTTCATGTGCACATTGATTGATGACTCTGAAGTGAACCTACAGCACTGATGCAGATGAGCTAATGACACTGCAGTCTGCCGAGCCTGGCTGTTCCCAGAGAGCTGACCTGGTTTCTTTTTCACAAATCCTCAGCAAATGAGAATATTTTTGTCACTTGACAAAAATCTTTCTCCTGCGACCAATGTCTGTGCCTCATGTTCTACCCTGGGACAGACAGCCACCATAGACACACAGACAGTTCTCTTGGGACGAGCTGGGAAAGAGCAGGACGAACCAAACCTCTAAGCAGGATCTTGTTTTATTTTGCCCTCATTGAAGGCCATGCTGTGGCAAGATGGCCCTTTTATCATCACTCTTTTTGTAGGAAAAAAAGCAGTGAGGGGAGTTATATGGACTCTCCCTCATGAAACTGGAGCTCCTCATTAGCACAGTGGTCATGGGGACTTCCAGAAGCTCCTCTCTCAGTCCATCATTCAGTGGCCCGTCCAGCAAACTGCTTCCTTCAACCACTTCTTCGGGACTGGTGTCGGGATGCTTCAGCCTCACGGTGCGGTGGCACCGTGCAGACCAGAACTGCAGGCAGCCATAGGCCAGCAGAGCAAGGAAGCAGAGGAGCAATAGGCTGCTCAACATCCACATGGAGGTGGTGGGTTCATGCTTAGAGCCACCAAAAACCAGGGGGATTTTGTCCAGAGTGTGGAAGGTGGTGCAGTGGTTGCTGGAGGGGTAGGAGTTTTTGCACGTGATGCAGAGAACATAGATGGTGGATGGTGTGAGTCGGTGGAGGATGAGGGAGCTGAGGGGGTGAGGAACTCGCTCCTCACGGTGGAGGTTTTGGCGTAAATAGCCAGCAAAGATGCTGTTCCAGTTGGGGCGATACATGACGTGGTAGTAGTTCTCTGGACACGGGTTGTTCATGGCCCAGGAGATGGTGGCACTGGTGTAAGTGATGTTGTGCACTTCGATGTTCATTGTGCCCCTGAAACCAGATGCAGGGAGAGGCTGAGTCTTCTGATTCAGGTCAGGCTACTGACATCAGTGAAGTCTTTCCACCAGCTTTACTTGCCCTTAGGCTGGACTCAATACCACCCTGGCTCACTTAGGTGAGTTGCTAGGGCTTGGATGGCTAAAATTACAAAAGACAAATCCTGCTGTTGCCCAGACTACTGTATCACCCTGCTGCATAACAAAATGAAAACCAGTTGGGGCATAAGGGTATACTTTATGTTCTAGTTAGATTTTTAAAACTTCTCTCTGACTGGTTATCTATATCGGAATCTCTTTTTAGGCTTTTTTGTTTCCCATGAAATAGAAAGGACACTGCAAGTGTGATTAGCATAAACTGATCATTTAACTAGCTCCAACCTGCCTTGTGAAGCTGCCAATCAATAGTCATTTTGATTTTGCACCTAAATGCTATTTGAAAAGCTGCATAATGGTTAATTCACCTGTTTAAGTTGTTGCAGCATTTTCTGTATCTTACTTGTTGCTTAACAGAGTACAAATTTCTGCTCCTGCAGCATCTCAGGCTGTAATATCAGGATCTTTAATGTGAAATCTGAAGGTTGGTGAAATAAAAAAATCAGTGCCTCTAGGGAAACACAAATATATGAATAATAAGTACAAAGCTCTCCCCAGATGAAAGACACTGAGCACTAACAAATCACTGTTTAGCAACAGCCACAAGTCACTTCATCACATCACTCCTTTAGATCCCCAAAGCCTCGTTGAGGGTTCTCTCTCCCAACCAGCCGAGCGCTCTGAGCAGCAGCAGCATGCAATAAAGCTGGTGGAATTTTTCCCTTCTTCCTCGCTCTTTAACAATAACTAACTTTCCTTTCATTCAATCAAGAATCAGCTCATCTTAACGACTGCTTGAAGCATTCTCACATGAAGAGCAGAACAGCACACGTGCCCATTGCTGAGCCCTCCCAGAGCCGCAGGCGCCGCTTACCTCCCCGGCAGGTCGGCAGGTCCGTGGTGGCTGGTGGTGCTGGTGACAGCCTGGCCACAGTGCCTTCCCCTCTTCCCACCACTCGCCTCCTTCCTGCCTCTGCCAAATCCCTTCCCCACGCTCTGCCTTGTATTATACCCATCTGGGGCTCCGTCATCTCTCACCATGGCAACCAGTAAGAAAGGATGGGCATGCATCTTCGGGTGATTTGGAAATGTTATCCCTAAAAGCTTCTGCCTGGGAGAAGTATGTATCTCTAAGGCAGAAAAAAACAAGGCAGGTAGTTTTCTTTGTTGGCTTCTTTGGCCTTTCCCCCCCCCCCATCCACAGTTCCCCAGCAAGACCATCACTGACTCCCAGCAGAGTCTGGGGTTACCAACATGTTGGTATGAAATTTGGGATCTTGACCTGCAGACCACATTGCCTCAGGGGCTTTGTCTTTCATTTTGTTTCTTGCACATTTAAACTACTGATTTAAGCAAAAGCCAGTGAGCAGTAGATTTTGATCCCTGATGCTGCAGCAATGTCCAGTAGCTTTCTGATATTTTTCTAAACTGTGTGGTAGGAGTAGGAACTGAGTTTTCAAATACCTCAGGCTCCTGCTGAGCTCCTGTGAAATTAAGACAGACTCTTCTTTGAATACCCCTGAATTATAGACAACTTGAGGATGTTCCCTATCAGTCTGGTGATAGGGCAGGAGGCAGAGGCAAGGCCAGTGCCAGTGGTGTGCAGGGGAGCAGCTGGAGTCTGTGGCCAGGAGGGGATAGATGTAGTACTGAGCCTGCTGAGGAGAGGCTCTGAACAAGTGACTCACTGCTCTCCAAAGCCAAAATGTGCTTGGGAGGAACTTTCCCAGAGCAAATGTTGGTTCTGGGTCTGGAGTTACTCACTCCATGTTGTTCCCAGAAAAATGCTTGCAACATTTCAAAACTCTTCAAGATACCTACTATGATAAGGTGATGCAAACTGCATCAGGAGGAGCAGGCTTGGGGAGTATGTGTGACTCTTGCTTTTGATTGATATTTTGCAGTTCTGGATGTTTTAGTTTTGTCTTCCAAGATCTGTATTCCATTCCATCTCTGTGAGGGAGCTGAGACTGCCAGTAAGCTGAAAACTGGAGGCAGAGATGAAAATAATTATGGACTGGGATGGAAATGAAAGTACTCCCAGGTGGCTTCCTGCCTCTTCCATGGTTTAGTCCTGCTTACGAGAGCAAGGGGGTAGGCAGCTCTTAGCTGGCTCCGTGCTGTGAGTAAAGTACATCCTTGCCTGCAGGGAGAGAGCTGAGGATACAAATCTGAGCTTCAGAGAAGTGGATTATAGAAGGTGGTAGTGTTTTCATGGGAGAAATTAGGCCAGCAAAGAGTCCTGCTGACCTTTCTTCATGCTGTGATCAATATCGCTAGCTCAAAGGGAAACACAGCAAAGCATTCAGAGGTGTTGGTAATAGCTGCTCCCAAAATCAAGCTTGCACCAGTTTACACTGCTGATGAGCTTGAAATTCTCATTTCTCAGGATGAGGAGATGCAAAAACCATGCCAGTGCCAGGACTGCTCCAACATTGATGTTCCCCATATCTGCAGGTGGACCCAGCCATGGCCCTGCCTGGGACCCCTCACTCCTCATTGTAGGATGCAAACCAGGGGCACAATCCAGTGGCCATCAGAAACTGAGCCATTTTTCTGTCATTCAGGCACTTATAAAACACAGCAGGATGCCAAGTCTCTGACAAAGAAGCTGCAAAATTGCTATCAACTGACTATTTACTGCTTGCTAACCACTTCTTCGCTCTGTAAATGCTTTAGATTGGGCTCCATTTATGTAGTTTCAGGAGTGCTTATGTTTTTCTTGGCACTGCCAGATCCAAGGTCACACCAGACTCGGTGGAAATCCCTGTTTCCCTTTCCCTGGTTGAATTTTCCTCCCTTCTTTAACAAGTGTGCAGGCAGATGTAACTTGTGTACACTGCCAGCACTTATAAAAATAGTCATGGCACGTGAGCAGGATGGAGCAGCTCTATTTTCTGCTGCCATGTCTGCAGCAGCAGCCCAAAGGCATGAAGGAGCTGTGGTTGTTGCAGGAGGTGTTGGCAGCAGAAGCTGCTGATCCTCTCCAACCAGCTGCCTGGGCTGTCCTACCCAGCCAAGCAACATCAGCTTGTTGTGATTAATAGCAGTGTATACAGTCTTGGAAAATCAGTATTGGTGTCATAGAATCATAAAGTGGTTTGGATTGGAAGGGCCCTTAAAGATCATCTAGTTCCAATCCCCTTGCCATGGGCAGGGACACCTTCCACTAGACAGGTTGCTCAGAGCTCCATCCAGCCTGTGCTTGAGCACTTCCAGGGATGGGACAGCCACAGCTTCTCTGAGCAACCTGTGCCAGTGTCTCAGTACCCTCACAGGGAAGAATTTTTTCCTAATCATTATGCTGAGACACAGAAAATACACAGACCCAGTCTCAATGCAGTCTATAAACATGCCTGCTGCACTGTGCATGTCCTGTCCATCCCAGCTAGGGAATATGTATTTTTTTCCATGAGAGTCTTAACAATCAGCTGATATAGCTGAATATGGTCAAACCGGTATGGGGAGAGTGAAGGATCCAGGCTGTGTTAGACTTAGAGATCCTCCTCTGGCAGTTCTGGTCAGAATTGTTTTTCACTCTAAAATAGCATTTCAGCTGTCACACTGAAGTTAGGTTGGCTGGGAGCCCTGACTAGTCTTGGGGTATGTGCAAGTCCTTTTTTGTCTATAAGTATATTCCTCTTTTGTTAGCTCTTCATTTTTCCAAGGGGATTCTGGCACAGGCAGTATTGTCTGTCTATTATCTCTCTCTGATCTATTTTACTGGATCAAACTCTCTCTGCCTTTCCTCAGGTGAGCTCAGACAGGTCTGGAGGATGCCTAACAAAAAGCTCAAAGACATGGAAATAAAACTGGGTTTTAATTTGCTTCATTTGCTGCTGAATCTGCTCCAGAGCATCCCTTATAACCTTCTGGAGCAACATGCTCACAATTACAGAAGGCTGTCCCTGAGACCTGGGTGCAGGATGGGACACTTGGGCTCTGTGGAACGCTGTGAGCTCTGCCCCACACTGCCAATCCCAGCCTGCCTGCACTTCCAGCATCCCATCCCCACTACCTGCCCATCTGGCAACAAAGGTGGGGCAATCCTGTGCAGTGTCTTCAGCAGCTGCTGCTCCCAAGGGGCAGCAAGAACAGAGCTTTGCTTCGGCTCTCCAAGGGGTTGGAAGCAGCCGCTCAGCACGGGGGAGTGAGCTGTGCTGTGCAGCCAGCTTGTACCTTCAGCTGTTTTGTCTTAAAATACTCACTGGTGTCATTTTTTACATCCCACAGTCTTTACCCCAAGCTGTGTATCTCACCCTTAAATGGAGTTACATTTTTAATTGCTGCCAGAGTAGTATTATTAGACCCAAGCCTGCTGCTAGTGCACAGTGTTGCTCTGCAGAGAGCTCCATGAACCTATCTCATGTTCCAGGCAGGCAAAGATGAATCATCCTGCTCATCTGCAGCCAATGCATGTCCTAAAATGTGTCTTCTCCCAATCAGGCTAATTGCTGAGACCCCCACTTGAGGGAAAAGCCCACTTGAAATCTTCCCTCCAGCCCCGTTATCCCACAGAGAGCTGAAGGAATCTATCTATACATTCAAGAGCTGAGAGTGAAAGGAAATACTTTTCCAATTCTCAGCAAATGACTTCACTTTGTAACTCATTAGTAGCTCAGATGAAGTGTTAAAAGTAAATCTTAAGGAAGTGTCAGAATTGGAGGACAACTGGAGCCTTCAGCTGGCTGTATTGCAGCAGTGGTGGTGGACAGAGAACATTTTGCCCTGTTTTGCTACTTCAGTCCTTGCTCCTTTTCACTCTAACCTCCTCAGTGTCTTAGTCCCACCACTCTCTTGGCTCCATTACTGACAGGGAAGGAAATCCCTGTAGAGCTGAGTCTGCAATATCCATGTGGAAGCATTTGGGGTACTACTTAATTTGTTTTCTT